TGGGCTCTTTTCTTTGAACCATTCTTAAGCCAGATCAGTAGGCATTTACATTTATTCTCATTAATCATAATGTTCTTGGTTCTGTGCCATCACTCCCAGGTTCTGAGGACATATTTGAATATTAATTGCAATAATATATTAAGCGATCCCTTCCAGCCTTCTGTTCCTTCTAGATACAGTAACCAAAACACTAATAAAATGTTGAACAGGATAGAACTAAATATAGAGTTCTGGCATACCATGTGCTCCACGCTGACATGGAACGAGTAAGGTCCACTCTACATACTAGGAACAAAGTAACTGATGAATGAATATGTGACCCACTTCCTTTGGGACGTGCCTGGTCAGTCAACCACAAAGGTGTCTAATTATGCTACCATCCAACCCACCTTTCTCCATCCTGGAAACCCCAAGGATGTCAGGGTTTGAGCCTATTTTAAATATTTAACTTAAATGAAGTGTCTTCTGCCAGCATACCCCATGGATCTTTCAGTTTAGTAATATAATAAAACAGAAAGGGGGTTGGCGCATGAGGACTTAGAGAGCCCTTGCCATTTTCTAGTGACTTCTCCCATCAGGTCTAGGTGTTCCATCTCCTAAATGGTCATGTGGTTTTTCCAGAACTGACACAAGCTCATCAGTCTGCACTGCTTCCTCTTTAAAACTGTGACCGTGCCTCTGTTGTGCATGGACATACATGCCTGACAGTCATGGGTTTCACTCAAACTGAGGAACTCAGGATTGCTGTGCTAGGCAGAGCAGCCCACTTTATTGCCGTGACCTTGGACTGCATTCTTACGACTGTGTGTGTTAGGTTCCAGGAGCGTGTTCTGTTCAGAGCAGTCAGTTCTCTTTACAGGACTTGGAGCCAGTGGGGACACATTCCCAAATCTCTCCGCAGAGAGGCATCTTGTTTCTGTCCCTTCTGAAATAGTCTGAATCCACCCACGGTCATGGGGGAAACATTTTTGAATTACAGCAAAGATGTGTGTAGTGCTTCCTTTGTTCAAGTTTATTTGTCTTCCTGGAGAGGATTGAATCATGCGTAAAATGTATGATAATAACCTTTTTAAAGTGTGTTTCCCTATGCTTCTTGAAGATAGATAGAACCAGAAGAAAAGGAGCATCTGTTATTTAAAACTGTATGAATGTATGTGACATCAAAGTAAACAGCTGAGTCATACCTGAAAATTAGCTGCTTATCTCCAGAGCTCTCCATCAGTTCTGTTTACATGGAGTCCCCGCTTTGGCTTCCCAGCACTACTCCATCGGAAAGAGGCTGGAGATGTTTACTATGCTTAGGAGCTGCTGAGTAGAACATGTAAACCTGTACCTGAGTTTCTGAAACCTTGCTGTGCATGTGAATCACCTGGGGATCTTGTTAAAATGCAGATTCTGAATCAGGAGGCCTGGGTGGGGCCTGAGATTCTGCCTTTCTAGAGCTGCTGGGGGATACTGGTGTTGCTGGTCTGAGGACCACACTTTGAATAGCAAGGTCTTAGGCCACTGGGCTAAATTTTAAGATACTGATAAAGAGATATATGTAAATGTAGATATGAAGATGCTGAAAATGAATGTATTCGGAATAGTGATTATCAGGCAAACCATATGTAGTAAACCCTAAATCAATCTGTCCCGATTCACCCATTAACTCCCTCTCCACTTCCCTGTTTTAATAATAATGTTTAAACAGTGTGATCTGCATATGTGCTTCTTTAGTAATTTAGCATTTATGTAATCATGTGTGGCCCCATGTTTTGAAGAAAATCTTTCTGTTGTGACAGGGACATCCAAGAGGTGAATTCCTCCCAGCCCAGCAAACCATTGGTGTGTTTCAGTCCTGAGAAGGCATTTAGGGACACAGAGGCCATTAGTCTGCAGCTAGAAATAGACCCTAAAAACAGAAGTCCCACTCTTTTTTCTTCTCTTCTTTCTTGTCTCTTTCTCTCTCCCTTTTCCCTACTATACTTTTCCACCTTCATAATTGACTTCTTCCTTCTTTTCAATCCTATGAATAAGCACCCCATGATCACCCCATGTGCCAGGGACCTGGTGGCGTACTGTGGTGCCCTCTGATGGTTTACTGAAAATACAGCAAGATACAATCCCTACCCTCACACTATTTCCCCCTGCTGGGAGATACAGGCAATACAGAGATAATGGAGGACAGAGAAGGGTCATATGCCCCAGAATTAGAGCCTTGTCTCCTCCAAGCTGCACTGGTAAATAAGAGACATGGTCCTTCTAAATATCGGAGGAGGGTAGGTTGAAATTTGTATCCGTCTGGCCCCTGGTCCCTCCAGTTCAGCATTAATCTTTGTATCCTTGATTTGTCATTATTGTTATCTGGAAAAGATGTTTATCAGTGGATAACTTTCCAAAAGAATACATTTAAGTTTGTGGGTTAAGGCCTATATTAGTGGTCCATTAGCAGAAGATCTGCCATAGAATCTATACAGAGCTCTTAAGGGCCAACTAAGCCAGTGTCTCAAATAAACAGTGTACATAAACCAAGGCACTATTTAGAACAAAGTCGGCATTCTTTTTCAAATTTACTAAAGCTGGGTTCTTGAAAAAGTACCTTCAGAGGGGTTTTCTAGTTTTGTATATTGTGCATTCAGTTGTACCAGCAATTTTATATTTGCATTGCTAATGGACCTCTTTCTGAATGTGTTTGACATTTTGCTTGGCTTTGAAAGGGCTTTTCTGCTGCTGCTTTTTCTTCCCTAGAGCTGCCTTGGGCTAATTAACCTATTCCCTTACTGGCTGGGCCTACTATATGCAAATGTTCTCATATCGGATTCTGACATACCAACCACTCTCAGGTGAACATCCTTAATGAAATCCTGTGGGGTTTTATTGGATCAGTGCTGCTGTGGAGCCAGCAGGGGGCGTATGGAAGGGTTGGCTTTGAGTAGCTCTACGGCGACTTTTCTTTGCTAGTTGGTATAGGAATGTGGAAGATTATACAATTCTCTGTCTTAAGGATGACTCTTGAAATCTAAAGATAAAAGATCATCATCAGTGCTTTTTCAGCGACCAAAAGGGGCCACTGTTTTTTATGCTTTTGCAGTTTAATTTTTTTCTCGTTGTTTTGAAAACAGCACTGTCATCATAATCCATTTGCAAGTATTGGGTGTAAATTATGTGGTGCACTCTTTATAAGAAAAGGCTCTAGGGAATGCAGTTACCTGGGACTTGCAAAGGCAGGAGGTCCGGAAGGTAAATAAATGGCACTACTCCTTCGACACAGATAGTTCTTCAGCATTAATATTTTAGATCTTTTTACTTTATTTTTTGTTTCTGTCCCAGTTTTTAAAGTGTCTCTTGTCATATGAGAAACCCTATTATTATTGAAATGTCTTTTGACATTGAGACTGGGGAACTTTTCTCTTGTGTCATTTGTCCTTTCATCGTGATGTTTGTTAATGATGTTGAAGCAAAACCAACAAGGGCCACTAAATCAGTGGCAATTTTTTTTTTAATTACAGATTAGGTTGAGGAAGTGTAAACTGTATAGGAGAAATTTGGGGTAAGCTGGTGTTGGGAGGGGAGTAGTAAGGCTACAGAAAGAAAAAAGGAGCTGTGTTATAATGGGGATATTGCCATTGCTTCAGATAGACAAGCATCAGATGCTAACGGCAGCTGCCTTATTTTGTTTATTTTAAAATCAGATCCTGGGTAGGAGAAACACTGAAACCCCAGGGCCTGTGCCTCCCATAGCCATATCTCATGGCTTCCCAGGATCATAGCCTGTGGCACTGCACATGTCTGTAGCTGTTGCCTGTAGGGGGCAGTCACATTTGCTGCTTGTTAGCCTGGTTCCAGTAGGTTCCATTGATGTTCTGCCTCTTGCCAGGTGGGCATCTGTTTGCCCACACAGTCATGCAGACTCGGAATTCAGTGGTTACTGAGAGACTGAGATATGTGTCCTTAAGAACTGGCTTTAGGCTCACTATTTGTACGTTCCGGTCTAACTAAACACACAGGCCTGATTAGTCTGATAGAGGCTTCGTCTCTAAGGTGGGCTGGCTCTTTCCAAGGAGAACGAGATGGAGGGTATGAAGAGAAAATTCAAAGACCACTTAGGACGGAAGAGGCAGGGATGAAGCAAATATGTAACCATCATAAAAGAAACCTTCAATGCATCTGCCTAATTATTGCATTTTTTTTAAACTGTAACCGTACTCATTTTTTAACTGCCTTACAGATTCCTTTGGTTTTCTGTTACCATATGAGTGGTCGTACTGGGAATTCTTTGGGAACTTGTAGAGAACAGGATTATTTCTGGCTGTCTCTGCTGAGTTGGCATGTGTATGTTTTGTGTCTGTTATGTATGTGTGCGTGCATGTGTACGTGTGCATGTGTGTGTGCATGCATGTCTTAGGGAAGAGAGAATCGTAGAGTCAGGATGGACTCAGAGTCAGTGAAACCTTTGAGCGCAGTGGCTCTGATAGATAGTGATTCAGAGATAAAGTGCCAAGTCAGTACAGGGCCTTCACTCTTAACCAGCTCCTCCCCAGGGCCTGGCATTGAGGGCAGGGTCCAGGTGACGTTCATTGATGTCACCTCCCTGTGTGCTTCATTGGATTTTCCAGCAAGGTAAAGAAGAGGTGAGGAATGGGACCAGCATTTCTGAAAATGAAAGTTAAAATGCATGATCTGCCTCTGAAAGAAAAGAGAAAAAAGGAGAGAGGGTATTGAGAAACGTGTCTTAGGGGAGTGGTTACTTTTATTAAAAGGTACCTGCTTTAAGTTTTGACTTGCCCAATGTCTTAATAATCTCCCTAATGTGCTCTCCAACATGGCCAGTGTTTTACCTGCTTTAATGCGAGGACTAGAATCGGTGTCCGGAATTTCCGTGGAAGCCGGAGGCCTAGTCTTAGTCGTGCTGAGGATGTTCTTTTCTGTTGCTGATATCTTGATTTCCTTTCCCTCTTCTCTTTCCTCTCTCCTCCCTTTCCTCTTTCCCTTGTCACTACCCCCCTTCCTTTTCCCAGATTCCAGAGCTGCTGCTGGCGGATCGCACCCACGGGGAGATGATTCCTCATGAAGAGCCTGGATCCCCTACAGAAATCAAATGTGACTTTCCATTTATCAGACTAAAATCAGAGCCAGCTAGACAGTGAAACAGTCACCGTGGAAGGGGGACGGCGAAAAATGAAATCCAACCAAGAGCGGAGCAACGAATGCCTGCCTCCCAAGAAGCGCGAGATCCCCGCCACCAGCCGGCCTTCTGAGGAGAAGGCCACGGTCCTGCCCAGCGACAACCACCGGGCGGAGGGCGTGGCATGGCTCCCAGGCAACCCTGGTGCGCGAGGCCACGGGGGCGGGAGGCATGGCCCGGCGGCGACTTCAGTGGAGCTTGGTTTACAACAGGGAATAGGTTTACACAAAGCGCTGTCCGCGGGGCTGGACTACTCCCCGCCCAGCGCACCCAGGTCTGTCCCGGCGACCACCACGCTGCCCACGGTGTACCCTCCCCCGCAGTCAGGGACTCCGGTGTCGCCCGTGCAGTACGCTCACCTGCCGCACACTTTCCAGTTCATTGGGTCCTCCCAGTACAGCGGGCCCTACGCAGGATTCATCCCTTCGCAGCTGATCTCCCCAACGGCCAGCCCAGTCACCAGTGCAGTGGCCTCTGCCGCAGGGGCCACCACTCCATCCCAGCGCTCGCAGCTGGAGGCCTATTCCACTCTGCTGGCCAACATAGGCAGTCTGAGCCAAGCCTCAGGACACAAGGCTGAGCAGCAGCAGCAGCACTTAGGCAGGACTCCGGGGCTCATCGCGCCAGGGTCCCCACCACCCACCCAGCAGAACCAGTACGTCCACATTGCCAGCTCTCCACAGAACGCTGGGCGCACAGCCTCTCCGCCAGCCATCCCCGTCCACCTCCACCCCCACCAGACGATGATCCCACACACGCTTACCCTGGGGCCTTCCCCTCAGGTCGTAGTGCAATACACCGACTCTGGCAGCCACTTTGTTACTCGGGAGGCCACCAAGAAAGCTGAGAGCAGCAGGCTGCAGCAGGCCATGCAGGCCAAGGAGATCCTGAACGGGGAGATGGAGAAGGGCCGGAGGTACGGGGCTCCCACCTCAGCAGACCTGGGCCTGGTGAAGGCCAGCAGCAAGCCAGCTCCTCACCCATACGAGTCCCGGCACGTGGTCGTCCACCCTGGCCCCGCCGAGTATGGCGGTCGGGACTCCTCAGGGGTCCGGGCCTCTGTGATGGTCCTGCCCAACAGCAACACACCCACAGCTGACTCGGAAGTGCAGCAGGTCACGCACCGCGAGGCCTCGCCCTCCACCCTCAACGACAAAGGCGGCCTACATTTAGGGAAGCCGGGGCACCGATCATATGCGCTCTCACCGCAACAGGCTCTGGGCCCCGAAGGCGTGAAGGCCGCTTCCGTTGCCACGCTGTCACCCCATACTGTCATTCAGACCACACATAGTGCTTCGGAGCCACTCCCAGTTGGACTGCCAGCCACGGCCTTCTACGCGGGGACTCAGCCGCCTGTCATCGGGTACCTGAGCAGCCAGCAGCAAGCGATCACATACGCGGGCAGCCTGCCCCAGCACCTGGTCATCCCGGGCACCCAGCCTCTGCTCATCCCAGTTGGCAGTGCTGACGTAGAGGGGTCGGGAGCAGCCTCTGCGATAGTCACCTCGTCGCCCCAGTTTGCAGCAGTGCCTCACACGTTCGTCACCACCGCCCTTCCCAAGAGCGAGAACTTCAGCCCAGAGGCCCTGGTCACCCAGGCCGCCTACCCAGCCATGGTGCAGGCCCAGATCCACCTGCCGGTGGTGCAGTCCGTGGCCTCCCCAGCGGTGGCCCCCCCCACACTGCCCCCCTACTTCATGAAAGGCTCCATCATCCAGTTGGCCAATGGGGAGCTGAAGAAGGTGGAGGACTTGAAAACCGAAGACTTCATCCAGAGTGCAGAGATCAGCAACGACCTGAAAATCGACTCCAGCACGGTGGAGAGAATTGAGGACAGCCACAGCCCGGGCGTCGCTGTGATCCAGTTCGCCGTCGGGGAGCACCGGGCACAGGTAATGTTCACCCAGGTCACACACAGGCAGGGGGACACCCCACCACACGCCTGCATCATTTCCTGGCAGGATGCACTTCTTCCAGGAGGCAGACTCGTCCTTGCTGTGGGAAAAATTAAAGGTTTTCATTTATACCCAGACTTTAGACTCTGAGTCTTACCCAGCCATGTTCTCTAAGAGAAATAAGCCCTAATGCCCTAAGACATCTGCTGCTCGTAGTGAACTAACTTCTCTGCATCTAGAGGGGGGCTAGTCAAGTACCATTCTCAGGACAATATAAGAAAAACATCACTTAAGGTATGTTCTTGTTCTATGGTTCAGATGGGAACCTGATTCAGAAAGGCTGCAGGGCCTAAGGTCCTTCTACCCTTTTTTTTCCATCAGGAAGAGACAGTGCTGGTCCAGTGAGGACATTAGATGCCCAGAGTCACCACATCCCATGCCAACGCCTGTGTTATAAAATTCAGGTTCTGTTATTATTTAGGTATGGCAGGACGGACAGATGAGGAGACAAACAGCCATTGAAAACAGAGTTTACTATACTCACAGATCCCACGAAGGGACACACCATGCAGGATGACATGGGGAAGCACCAGTGTCAGTCAGGAGGCAGAGGGAGTGGGGAGAAATCATGGGCAAGAACCTCTATTGTGGTTTCTGTGGGGTGGAATGGGTGAGGTAGGGTAAGCACGTTTAGGACTGGCTAGTTTGAGAAATTTCAGTGGGCTCTGTCTCTGATTGCCTGGTACCTGCTGTGAGGTGATTAGAGTAGGGGGCAGTGGCCTGGAGTTTGAGAGCCTTTTAAGAGGAGGTGGTTGGCAGTGTGGGTGGGTGTTTTGTATATGAAGGTCACTGTCCCAGGAGAGTTGGTTGCTACCTGTAAGAATTCGCTAACCCTGAGAGGAGCAGCCCCTCCAGAGTCAGCAAGGCCTCCAGATGTCAAAGCATCAGGACACAGAAAATAAAAAGCATGGTTAATACAATCCGAGAAGTCAGGGCTGTCCCAGGTGCTCTCCTGGGCTCGTGGTAAATAGGAACCCTGAGGGTCAGATGTAGCCAGACTAAGTCATGTTAAAAACTAGGACTATGATTAAGTCTCTTCATTTCCCCGGGCTCCTTCAATCCACCCTTTTCCAGTCTCTTGACTCTCTTGAACACATTTACCCCATAGCCCATTTATATGAAAGAGCAACTTCATTGCCCAGGTTGCTTGAGTCAAACAGGTTTGGCCCCCAAGCTGGGAACTTTCCTGGCTATAGAGCCCTACTCTCTGAGAATGTTTCCACCGGACACTGGAACACTCGGATGTGACAGCGCCTCCTTTAAGTTTGAGCTGAAAAGGGTTGTGGCTTAGCTGATAGTTGGGGCGTTCACAGAAAATAAAACAAACATAAAAGACCAACTAGTTAATGGTTTGAATTGTTTTAAGTATATTTTTAGAAGATCATTGAGGTGGAGGGGAGTCCAATTTTCCACAGTCTTTTCCAGAACTTCCTGTGAATGACCGGATGTGGGATCTTGCACAATGTCAGGGAGCCTGCGTTGCCAAAAGCGCTTAGCCCCAAATACTACTTTTACTTTTTATGGTGAGATGTCACTGTAGGTGTAGAGTGTTTGGTAAGGCCCAAGAAATATTTTTTCAAAGCTCTGATTCAGAAAAAGAACAAAAGTCAGGATTTTTTTTTTAATGGCATCATGATTTAGAACTCATTACCCATCTGTAGTTGCTCCTTGCTCCAGCCTCCCTCCATCGTTTGAGGTGGGTCCTAGTAGGAAGAAAAAAAAATAAAAAGTTCCCTCTTGCAAAGTTTTCTTTTAACAGACCCCAGGTCAAGCATGGAAAATAAACAAGAAAGAAAAGTAAATGTGTTTTTCATGGTACTTTTTTAATCCCTAAAGCATTAGTGTGCCCAGAAGTAGGCATGGAAAGAGGTGTGATTTTTGAAATGCTACTGGTTCCTTACCAGCATCTCTTTCAACTTGAGAATAAAGAGCAGCTTTAGCTCTGGGCAGCATCCCCAAGGCCCTCACAGCCTCTCAGACCAGAGCTCACAGGCCTCTTTAGGTTTCAAATGGACCTGGCAGGTCTTAGAAAGGAAGCGTCTCTGTGTGTTTTCCCTGCTTGATACTTTGCAGAATGAACGCTTAAATGATAGAGAAATTGGCTTCCAGGCCAAGTCTCATTTCCTTCCCGTAGGCAGACTACTAGTCTCTTTGCTGACAGCCAAGGTGCAAATTAGAAGGTAGCATATTTGTCACAGCCTGTTTGCAGGTCTGTCAGGGCAGCCCCTGTGTGGCCATGCTGCATGCTGGGAAGGGTTTCTGCAAAGATTGGTGAGAGGGCTGTGATAGGAACAAAGTGCAAGGCCCTGACACAACCAATGATTTGTCGCTTTACCGAGAAGCCTATCAGAAACAAGCTGACATCATCACAGTGAAAATACTCCACCAGCTGTGTTTGCCACAAGTGATGGGAACAGAATCAGTGGAGAATCAGAGAGATGGGGGGAGAGAGGACGGGAGAAAGAGAACTAATATCTGGATTTAATTTGCGTTCCACGGACAGAGTGCTTCCAGGTGTGATTGTGTCTCTGGGAGGAGTTTTTCCCCTGGCCTGAAGAATCAGTCCCTGTCTTCTCTATTGGTTAGGAATCGCTAACACTCACACCCACAGGGAGATTAGAAATGTGCAAATTGTTTAACTTAATTAGCAAAATCACAAATTTGATTAGGAAAATTGTGGGAGAAGGGCTAGGTTTTGCACAACAGATGGCTTTATGACTCTGGGCATAAAGCCTACCTGGAAGGAGAACCACAGGGAAGCGTGACCTCATAAAACCTGCTGTGGGCGTCCCGGGGAAGGTAGCATGGTGTAGAGAAAGCCACGAGCCTGGGTCCTGGTCGGCTGTGGAGGCTGCGGAGACGGGTGTTTTACCTCTCAGAGCTGCCGTTTTTCTCACCTTATACCTGGTAATACCTTGGGCATCCTTGTTTTGTAATCGTTTGCTTCCCTTCCTGTCCTTGCAGAACAGTCTTTGTGCAATTTATCAGCGTTGGCTACCAAAAACCAGCAGGGGCCATAAAGGGAACCTTTACTGACCTCGTGCTAATGATCCACAGAGGGGACCTAGCGGGAACTAAAGCCAGCCTGTATAAAATGGAGGGGGTTTTTTGGGGTTTGGGTTTTTGGGGTTTTTTGGTGATTATTTTTAAGGAGCTGAATTTCTAATTATTATTGTGCAAAGACGCCTCCAGTGTTTCCAGCTGAAGCTCCAGACGAAGCTGTGTAGGAGAAAAATACTTTCACATATTCGTCACCATCCCTGTGGCTTTGCCATACCCAGTGCTGCATTTCTCTGCACCCCAGTTCCCCCACCCAGCTGCTGTGAGAAACAAATGGGAATTCCAGGTTTTGTCCCTTACAACTATATGCTCCACACGAAGCCTCTTTGTGGCCACTCTGCAGTCTCTTTCCTCTTCTATTAAAGGACAGGCAGCACATCCCACCCCAGGAGGGAGCAAGTCACGACTTCCCCCAGCCATCCTCTCTGCCCTGGTGATTCTGGCTGAGAGTCTCAACAGACAGCAGAATCCCTTCCGTGGGCCTCATTCCTAAATAGAATCCACTTTATCGTCTCCAAGTTTGAGCCCATACGTCTGTGGCGAGTACAAGAAGGGACCCCAGGCAATAGCATGAGCGTGGGCTGCATAAGAGCTTGGGACCTCACTTGCTTGGGTAGGAAGCAGGTTAGCTGGTAGGAAAATGCGAGGCTTAGACCCCAAAAGACCTAAGTCTAAATCTATCCTCCACCGTTGGGTAGTACTGGGGCCTTGTGCAAGTCATTTACAAATCATTGCATGAATAATTTATCGTGCAAGTTATGTCTAAGCCTCCCGCGTACATAGTGAGAATTATGAGGGTTGTAAGAATTAGAGAAAATGCATTCAAGGGAACTCTGGCACAATATGCAGCACATAGTAGGCCCTTGACAATGTTAGTTTCCCTTCCCTGCTTCACTTAGGTGGATTTGACCCTGAGAAGGGAAACAGTTAGCTTCTGAAAAATAAAAGAAAAAAAGGCTCTAAAAATAATGTATGGAAGGAGAGACAGTCTAGAAAAGCCTAGAAAGAAGGCTGAACTTTTCTAATGAGTGCGTTAAGCCATTTTCACCCTGCCTGTATTCCTGTGGCGTATTCCTATGAATGGCCCAGGAGCAGCCATACTGTGCGTGCTGTGTTTTTCTGAGCTTGAGCTGAACTGGAGGGATGGGTTGGTGGTCCAGCCCTCCGCATCAGTAAAGGACTGCCACAGAGATAGGTGCATGGGCCTTTTGTTGGGGTGCCCTCTGGGAGAGCCCCACCTGGGGGGCCTTCGGCTTCCATCGGGCAAACAGTATTCTGTGAGCAGCTCCCCATCCCTCTAGCTCATGCCCCCCAGGCCTCAACTTTTCTGAAAAGTATACGAAATTTGCTCAGTAAAATTTTAGTAAATTTTATTTATACAGTGCTCTTGGGCGACACATTTCTTGGACTGCTTCTTTCCTAACTGCCGAGCTCCTTATGTTAGTAGGGCTGTCTGTCGCTTCCCTGATCCTCCTGCGGTGACTGCTTCCCTTTTACCTCCTTGGTGACTGCTTAATATTCAGTGCCATTTCCTCCTCCCAGCTGTCCTAGGTGTGTGTGTGGATGCGTACACTCGTACAGCATGTCATAATGATGTGCTTACTGCACGTTTACCGATGGCTTTTCTTTCATTCCACTATTTTTTAATTTGACTGCTGTGTTCTGTGAGTCATCAGTGGCAGCATTATGCATTTAATGGATTAGCTGGTGCCTAAAAATAGCCAAAGCCCTCATGAAAGCAGCACATAAGCCTGTATAGTCCCTGAGCAGCCAAAGCAAACCCACATGCCAGCATTTCACATGCAGGGCCTAGTGGAAATGAATCCTAATGTATCAAAAAAGTGATAGTGACTGCCCTGTGCACAAAGCCCAGCGCT